CCAGATAGAGACTAAGGGGAGGACGTAATGGTTTAATATATTTATTAATGACATATTTTATAAGATTAAGGACTCTGTATTGTACAATTATGCTGATGATAACACTTTAAGTTATGAAAACAAGAATGTTGATGTGTTAAAGAAGGTCCTTGAAAGAGAGGCTAAAGTCCTGATCGATTGGTTTAAATCTAACGGAATGCAAGCCAACCCAGATAAGTTTCAGGCAATTTATTTTGGAAAAAATCAAAATGATTTAACAAATTTTGAAATTGAAGGAGTAAAAATTGACTGTGAAGAAAATGTAAAGCTACTTGGAGTAAATATAGATTNGATAGAGGTTGGGAGGGACCGGAAGTAATTGTCAAGAAAGAGGCTGGGAGAGACAGAAAGTTATGGTCCAGATAGAGACTGGGAGAGGCAGGAGGTTATGGTCCAGATAGATACTGGAAAGGACAGGAAGTTATGCTTCAGATAGAGGCTTGTAAGGACAAGAAGTTATGGTCCTGATAGAGACTGGTTGCATATTTGCCTATTATTTCACGTTCTACGAGAGAGAAAATCTTGTTAACTGTGAGGAACCGCTTAACAAACGAGCGAGTCACTCAATAATCATTGTTTCCACAAACTGGAGTTATATCATAGCCTAACCATAGAATGTGACAAGAATCCATGACGTCAATAAAAATACAAGTGGGTGGAGCTATGCACATTTTCCGCGAACAATACACAATTATCACGGTGATGTCATCTACAGCATATTTGGACCGAGTTAACCAGGGATTTCAGGCTGTTACTCATTGAACCCAGAATGCTTCATTAAGTTTTTAAAATGAACATTGTGCCCCTTGATCCGACTTTTAATGAAAAATATTATTTTTTATTTTGGTTATGATATGAGGTGATGGCTCCAGCTGATCACTTACAGCGAGCGCTTTTTGTATCGTTGGTTGGTTGGTTGGTTGGTTGACAGGTTTATCGTCTTCCATCACTGTCGAAAGTCTGTGTTCGGCCGACGTGAGGGGTAAGTTGCCGCTTACCAGGCTTTCTGAGATTCTAAGTGTCCTAGGCTCATCCAGAAGATCACAGTCTAAGGTCAACTACAAGTAAACGTTGATATTCAACAGGGGAGAACGTTGAGCACGTGACAGGAATAAGTATATATACCGATTCTAATTGCATGTATCAGTATATGTGTGCAAACTTTTAATGCAAAAATTGATTTTTGACAATTTCATTGCAAAATCATAATTATAATATAAATAGAAGACTAAGGATCTTCTTATTTTACTGCTATATGTCTTAGTTTAAAAATCTCATAAAAATGTTTTTACACATTGCAATGTATAATTCTGGGCCTTGCATAAACTTGGTTAATACATCAATTTCCAATGTGAAAAGAAAAGCAGAGAGAGAATGGAAATATAAATGCAAAAGCAAACACTTTGAAAACAATCTTTAAAGAAAAAGTCAGTTGTGCTATATATATTTCTATAGTGTAGTGGTCATCAAACTTGCCACTCTGTGGTGGGAGACCCAGATCAAATCCTGTACGAAATAATAGCACAACTTGAAATTTAGCTGTTAACACTGCAAACGTGAATAAACATAAACAACTAATTGTAAAACTCTTCCATACATTTCCTATTACAAGGTACATTGTATATACATTTATAAGTATCCTTGTTAATTTGTTCATTATTGCATTCATACAACAACTGGACATTCCAACATTTTTGTAGGCAGTGAGTATTACATTTATGATTTGTAAATTTAACTAGAAAATATATTTTTTAGTTATCAAAGTCTTGGTGTTGATCTCTTGTGATTGCCTTTTGTTCATCATAATCCCCATATCAGTTGATTTTTTTAGGAATGTTCCATGCTGAAATGCAAGCCAAGTTTATGAATTATATGAATCTAATCTACCAGGGGTCTGAGGTCAAACTGACTAAATTTTCAATAATCTTCTTATTCACGGATATGCTATGATCAAATACTCTTCATAGATGGAAAGGTCATGTAGCGCTATTTGAAATTTATGAATATTTTGCTACCTCTGGATCATTCGTTCCTTTTTAAGATGGGGTTAATGTTAGGCTAAAATAACAAAAATGTGTTTCAGTCAACATGCCAAAGAAAAAAGGGTAGGTCAGTAAGCACACAATTTTATCCTTCTTTTATTTTTTTATTATCATAGATCAATATATATACATGTACTTACAGGGTAATAACAAATATAAAAACGTTTTATGCATTTCAATGGTTATTATTCTGTCAAGAATGTGGTCACGATATCATGACCAGAACAGGAAGAAATTTAAAGTATATTTGAACGAATGACTGTGAGCTTTGCCTGGCTATTAATTCAATGTAGGTCAGGATACCCAAAGCGTATGTAATTTAGTTTTTGTCCTAACTGTAGTTAAATGGGACAATAACACTTTTGGGTATATTTTCGTTTACTTTCAATGGGAAAAAAATCAAACTTGGTGGAAATGATTTTCATGTGACTGCATTTTGATGGTAAGCAAATTAATTACCTGGCCAAGGACCTGAGGGAGGGGCCAAGGTGGACAAGTCGCTTTATCTGAAATTGTTATTTCATTACCCCTGTGTCATTCATTCCTCTGCTGGAAAGAGTAAATTTTACATTAATATCTTTTTTCATTATTCATTTTTTTTCTAAAAATTGTAGCAATATATATGTCGGGAAATTATGTACCAGCCATATATATATATACATATGATACATGTTGGTCACTCCCAACAGGATTTTCTCTCAAGGAATTACATGCTACATTACAACAACATAATTGCACTACAACTCAGGTCCATGTATTTTTTGTATCACTTGGTGAGAACACTGTTGTATATTTTTCATTTCTGTATTGTCGTAATTGCAGTGGTGCTGTTTGTATTTATTGCAGCGTCTGACTCTGAAGATGCTGGTACAATGTATAATTTACATTAAGAAGTAAAGGATTAAATTATTTTATCATTTGGTTATTCAAAAGGAATGAATATTGCAGCCATTGCTTATCCAATATTGGACTATTGAGAAAGTGTATGCTGGTTTAGGGTTACAAAATGGATACCATAATTACTTCACACTGATTGAGAATCATCTTTGAGCTACTTTTACTGCCTTTGCATGTCACCTACAGACCCGGTAAAGCTTGTAAATGAGGGAAGCTGTAACATCCTCAGTTCTTTATTGTTTGTCTGTCTGTACTGATAAATGATTATGCTCTTTGCAGGTCATAAAAAGATTAAAACATTTGTACTAACTGTGATTGCTCCCAGGATCCTGTCACCCCAGTGTGGAAATGCTTGATATCAGTGTCCTTTAATGAAAAACTGGACCTCCATAGACACCTACCAGAGTTGTCTCCAGGTCTGTTAAACCCAGGAATGCACTCACACTAGCCCTTCCAGGAGTCCTACAGGACTGAGAAATACAACATAAAATTTAGTGAACTTAAGTTTACAGGTTGACTTTGGAGAAAAAAAGAGCCCAACTTCTGTTTCATGGTAAACATTGATATTTTTCACTAGCTTGGGGCATTGGGCTAGGCAAACATGTATATTTGTCATGAACCAAAATAAATGTACATTGTTTTGTAACTTTTTTAATAAATATTATCTATGTATATTAGATCATATTGGTCATTTGTTTTTAAACCTTCCATCGATTTTATTTTCATGTCAGAATATTCGGTGCACCTATATTTGTTTTGTTGCCTTTACGACCCTAGCTGGGGCACCACATATCTATCATTATCAAGGTTACTGAATTGTGTGCGCTCGCTTATAGGTAGTGCCTATTTCATATTGAACTTATATTATATGACTCAATAAAACCCGATAAGAGCAAATACAACAAGCTAAGCCTCCTGTACGATGGCCAATATCAACCAATTTAACTACATCATATATAACCGAAGAACTTTGCGTACAGTAATATTATATTGACATATAAATGTAAGTATAAGCTTAAAGTCAATATTTGTAATGCACTAAATTTGTATGTGGCCATTTCGTTCAGTTGGGACACATCAGAGGTCAAACACTTTTTTTATTAAATGCGTAAAGTGTTCCAAGTGTAGAATAGAGCTAACAAAAGGAAAATGTGCGAATACAACCCATTGTGATGTTACAATTTAAGGCTATAACTGATGATTGATAAACACGTCTTTCATGTAAACAAGGCTAGAATAAATTATTCAAGTTACAAGGCTACCTTGATGCACCTACATTTAGGTCTTATTATTCCTGTTATGCTAATAAGATATTGAGAGCTGGCTTATCGAAATAGTTTTTATTGTAACAGACTAACATCACAGTCGAGTGAATAAGTCTTAATAGTAGTACCGATCTCAGTTACCAGAATTGAGAACTCGTTTTATAACTCGTAAACGTAAGAACTTGACAGTCATGTCGCATTTGTCATGAGAATGGCTCTACTGGCACTAGCACTCGGGATCACGAAACGACCTAAGACTTAAGGTTTTATTTAGCCCATCACGTATAACACCACTTTTCATGACGTTAGTTGTGATTGTTTAAGTCAAAACTTAAGACCATTATTCAATTATAGCGGGACCGTTAATTTGGTAAGACAATTGCCAGGTACAATGTATGTGTATATAGATACTGTACAATACAACTCTATAAAATGGGATTTATATTGACAATTAAGGACTGCCCTATAACAGTTTGCCTGTGTAGCTCATTGTTTTCGCTATAAAAGATACACGGGTATGCTCTTCCCTCCATATAATTCCAAACTACTATTGCATTTAACAGTAACCTGAAAGTCGCTATTGCCCCACCCACACCACTAATGTCGGTCATCGATTCCTTCATAAAATGGGGTTAAAGTCAATTGGTGGTCTTCATCGGCCACCGTACTCTATTACACGATCGTTTGATCGTGCCTTTATTACTGACTGTTTGAAGAGCGTTTGGCATTTATGAAAACCACAGCTTACGGTATAGACATGGAGAAGGAAACCCCGCTTTTGGTGTTGGTAACGTTAACGTTGGTCATTTTATTCACTAGACCCTATACAGGTAAGTCATACAAGATTATTCAGAGTCAGATGAAAAGATATCGGCTTAATTTAACGTATGCTCTTTTACATTCCCAATATATTTTTTCTGTCTCAGGTTTTAATATTCAGCCGCAACAATTTAAGATTCAGATTTCTTTAAAAGCATCCCTTGCATGTACCGTACGGTGTGAGTGGATCATGTTCTATATATCATTAAATTACTGGAAATAAGGAACGGTGTTGTATGATGCTTAGTAATTTGAGGTTGATAGCGGTTGGCAAGGGATAACGTCTGGCAGGAACTACTGAAATTTGTTTAAAATGTTTTAGACATAAACAATATGTTGTGTTCAATGTAAAATGTTCAGCGCAATGAAATGTTTGAAATGGAGTAACACAAGTATCGATTATTAGGTCTAGCTTAATCTTGATGTTGTGTAGTTATATTGTACAAATATTGCCATTGTTCTTTGCTGACATGAACATTTGTCAGTACTTAAGGTGTACTGTCAACCGAGGGCGAACTTCTCGGGCAATAACCGTTTTAGTATAAAGTTTGTATTTCATCTTAATTTGTTTAATTATTTGTACAGACGTATTATATATATTTCTCGATCTCTGCTATGGTATCCGCCAAGTTAATCAGTATAACGGAAATTATTACACCACCGTCAAATCTCAGTAGTGAGTGTCAACCGAGTTATAACGGTATCTCAGATTATATCTTGATGTGTTTCAGTTTCTGGTCAGTCCATCACAATAACAGGAACAAGTACCTTGGTAACGCCGACATCAGAACTCAGAATTACATGTCAGCCAAGCTCAGCTGGTATCAGTGATGTCAGTACTATTGGTGTTCAAAAAAACACTAGCAGTACTGATTATACATCAATAGTGTCTGTAGGCTATAGTAAAGACAGTTCATCATCAATAATCAGCTGGTCTAACACAGCTTTCCAGAACAGACAGGGTGTGTCGGCGACAGGAAATGTGGACACTCTCGGTGGTGCTAGGCTTGTGTTAACAATCACCGCGAACAACACACGATGTGAGGACGGGGGAGCTTACAGGTGTAATATGGGAGTAATTCTGACAGGTGGTGGTGGTGCCACGGCTAATGCTGATAATTATGTTACTGCTACAGGTACGTATCTGCATGGTACCTATAAAGATTGCATATATTAAAACAAATGGAATATCCCCTAACAGCTAACACTGTATTATGAACGACTACAGGGACATATGTATACATATGCATATTTTCTGGTGATATTTACACGACGTAAGACACTGAATAGATTTTGGTAAAGTTATCCGTTACGAACCGAACAAACGGGTTCTTTTTTGTCACTGTCATACTTCGATGCTAAAGTAACATATATATATACTTACGTCCCCGCACAACCTGTTTGTAGTCATACATACACATTTTAGCTGTTTACATGTTCTTTGATATTTTTACCTATGTCACTAGTGTAATATACCCTTGAGCGTTTTTTATGTGCCATGGCAGAAATCGATTGTGACGTCATAATATGGACAATGACGTGACGTCATCAATTGTGAATATCCCTCATTCATAGATACTATTCCACAGTCTCTTAGCAAGCATATAGTACAGGTGGTAAACAAATATCATACACACACATATATACTGATGCATGGCAAGGGGAGATAACTTTGTAAACGTTTTTTAATTATAGTAGTCTGTCCTGCTGCCTTTTAATTCGGAGAGTCCTGTACGAGCTAGTCTAGCCGTCTCTCAACGTCCAAACAACGTTTTCTTATATAACTAATCTTACTGTCAACATTTAACCTTTAGTGATTTACTGTTAGCTTGCTTGAGGTATTTCATCTCTACTCATATCAGTGTAGACAATCTGTTGTGGGCCCATCATTGCTCCTAGGAATAAAGAATCGTGGCAGCAGTTTTACAATCGAGGATAACGAATATGATCATTGGAGTCTGGAAAGTGATATTTAAATACAGCTATCTTTGTACAAACACAGCATTGAAAATTACAATGACATTATTTTACATTTACCTCACCTTTATAACAGCATATCTGATTGGAGGAGGTTGATCACATGACAGGGCAATAAAACAGCATGTCTCACTCACGCGCTTATGTTTCCCTTATTCGAAACCCTCATAAAAATGGTAACAACTACAACAACCGAGTTCCGAATTGACTGAAGCAGACGACTTAAAGGCGCGTCAATGGGACCATCTTCACTATTGATTTTCTTTTTTAATTCGGCGTTATAAAATATGTATTGCCTTGTGGTACGTAAACACGATTCTTTGCTTCTTCCCGATTAATGGTGTGTCATTCGGGCTTCGCTCTCGTGAAACATTGATTAATTGGAGAAACGAAAAAATATATTTTCCCCTAAAACAAGGGTAATAAAGGTATTTTATCCAAATACATGTACTCCTGAAATATCCATGTATAGTATCATCGATCACTACATGTACTCCTGACATATCCATGTATAGTATCATCGATCACTACATGTACTCCTGACATATCCATGTATAGTATCATCGATCACCACATGTACTCCTGAAATATCCATGTATAGTATCATCGATCACTACATGTACTCCTGACATATCCATGTATAGTATCATCGATCACTACATGTACTCCTGACATATCCATGTATAGTATCATCGATCACTACATGTACTCCTGACATATCCATGTATAGTATCATCGATCACTACATGTACTCCTGACATATCCATGTATAGTATCATCGATCACTACATGTACTCCTGACATATCCATGTATAGTATCATCGATCACTACATGTACTCCTGACATATCCATGTATAGTATCATCGATCACTACATGTACTCCTGACATATCCATGTATAGTATCATCGATCACTACATGTACTCCTGACATATCCATGTATAGTATCATCGATCACTACATGTACTCCTGACATATCCATGTATAGTATCATCGATCACTACATGTACTCCTGACATATCCATGTATAGTATCATCGATCACTACATGTACTCCTGACATATCCATGTATAGTATCATCGATCACTACATGTACTCCTGACATATCCATGTATAGTATCATCGATCACTACATGTACTCCTGACATATCCATGTATAGTATCATCGATCACTACATGTACTCCTGACATATCCATGTATAGTATCATCGATCACTACATGTACTCCTGACATATCCATGTATAGTATCATCGATCACTACATGTACTCCTGACATATCCATGTATAGTATCATCGATCACTACATGTACTCCTGACATATCCATGTATAGTATCATCGATCACTACATGTACTCCTGACATATCCATGTATAGTATCATCGATCACTACATGTACTCCTGACATATCCATGTATAGTATCATCGATCACTACATGTACTCCTGACATATCCATGTATAGTATCATCGATCACTACATGTACTCCTGACATATCCATGTATAGTATCATCGATCACTACATGTACTCCTGACATATCCATGTATAGTATCATCGATCACTACATGTACTCCTGACATATCCATGTATAGTATCATCGATCACTACATGTACTCCTGACATATCCATGTATAGTATCATCGATCACTACATGTACTCCTGACATATCCATGTATAGTATCATCGATCACTACATGTACTCCTGACATATCCATGTATAGTATCATCGATCACTACATGTACTCCTGACATATCCATGTATAGTATCATCGATCACTACATGTACTCCTGACATATCCATGTATAGTATCATCGATCACTACATGTACTCCTGACATATCCATGTATAGTATCATCGATCACTACATGTACTCCTGACATATCCATGTATAGTATCATCGATCACTACATGTACTCCTGACATATCCATGTATAGTATCATCGATCACTACATGTACTCCTGACATATCCATGTATAGTATCATCGATCACTACATGTACTCCTGACATATCCATGTATAGTATCATCGATCACTACATGTACTCCTGACATATCCATGTATAGTATCATCGATCACTACATGTACTCCTGACATATCCATGTATAGTATCATCGATCACTACATGTACTCCTGACATATCCATGTATAGTATCATCGATCACTACATGTACTCCTGACATATCCATGTATAGTATCATCGATCACTACATGTACTCCTGACATATCCATGTATAGTATCATCGATCACTACATGTACTCCTGACATATCCATGTATAGTATCATCGATCACTACATGTACTCCTGACATATCCATGTATAGTATCATCGATCACTACATGTACTCCTGACATATCCATGTATAGTATCATCGATCACTACATGTACTCCTGACATATCCATGTATAGTATCATCGATCACTACATGTACTCCTGACATATCCATGTATAGTATCATCGATCACTACATGTACTCCTGACATATCCATGTATAGTATCATCGATCACTACATGTACTCCTGACATATCCATGTATAGTATCATCGATCACTACATGTACTCCTGACATATCCATGTATAGTATCATCGATCACTACATGTACTCCTGACATATCCATGTATAGTATCATCGATCACTACATGTACTCCTGACATATCCATGTATAGTATCATCGATCACTACATGTACTCCTGACATATCCATGTATAGTATCATCGATCACTACATGTACTCCTGACATATCCATGTATAGTATCATCGATCACTACATGTACTCCTGACATATCCATGTATAGTATCATCGATCACTACATGTACTCCTGACATATCCATGTATAGTATCATCGATCACTACATGTACTCCTGACATATCCATGTATAGTATCATCGATCACTACATGTACTCCTGACATATCCATGTATAGTATCATCGATCACTACATGTACTCCTGACATATCCATGTATAGTATCATCGATCACTACATGTACTCCTGACATATCCATGTATAGTATCATCGATCACTACATGTACTCCTGACATATCCATGTATAGTATCATCGATCACTACATGTACTCCTGACATATCCATGTATAGTATCATCGATCACTACATGTACTCCTGACATATCCATGTATAGTATCATCGATCACTACATGTACTCCTGACATATCCATGTATAGTATCATCGATCACTACATGTACTCCTGACATATCCATGTATAGTATCATCGATCACTACATGTACTCCTGACATATCCATGTATAGTATCATCGATCACTACATGTACTCCTGACATATCCATGTATAGTATCATCGATCACTACATGTACTCCTGACATATCCATGTATAGTATCATCGATCACTACATGTACTCCTGACATATCCATGTATAGTATCATCGATCACTACATGTACTCCTGACATATCCATGTATAGTATCATCGATCACTACATGTACTCCTGACATATCCATGTATAGTATCATCGATCACTACATGTACTCCTGACATATCCATGTATAGTATCATCGATCACTACATGTACTCCTGACATATCCATGTATAGTATCATCGATCACTACATGTACTCCTGACATATCCATGTATAGTATCATCGATCACTACATGTACTCCTGACATATCCATGTATAGTATCATCGATCACTACATGTACTCCTGACATATCCATGTATAGTATCATCGATCACTACATGTACTCCTGACATATCCATGTATAGTATCATCGATCACTACATGTACTCCTGACATATCCATGTATAGTATCATCGATCACTACATGTACTCCTGACATATCCATGTATAGTATCATCGATCACTACATGTACTCCTGACATATCCATGTATAGTATCATCGATCACTACATGTACTCCTGACATATCCATGTATAGTATCATCGATCACTACATGTACTCCTGACATATCCATGTATAGTATCATCGATCACTACATGTACTCCTGACATATCCATGTATAGTATCATCGATCACTACATGTACTCCTGACATATCCATGTATAGTATCATCGATCACTACATGTACTCCTGACATATCCATGTATAGTATCATCGATCACTACATGTACTCCTGACATATCCATGTATAGTATCATCGATCACTACATGTACTCCTGACATATCCATGTATAGTATCATCGATCACTACATGTACTCCTGACATATCCATGTATAGTATCATCGATCACTACATGTACTCCTGACATATCCATGTATAGTATCATCGATCACTACATGTACTCCTGACATATCCATGTATAGTATCATCGATCACTACATGTACTCCTGACATATCCATGTATAGTATCATCGATCACTACTTGTACTCCTGATATATCCATGTATAGTATCATCGATCACTACATGTACTCCTGACATATCCATGTATAGTATCAGCGATCACAGTTAAGATTGTTCTGGATACATGGTTACCAAGCTTCTTTCGTCCTTTATTTCGAGTCAAGGACATTAAAACGAGCAGAGAACATATTTTAAATACTGACATCAGCCAAACGACCTATACTAACATCCTGTATGTAAACCTTCTCTCAATTTAAATAGTCATTTGAATTTATTGATGCGCAGCCCATCTTCACAAAGGCTTTGTGTGTAAAATCTTCAACCAATGTGAATCGACAATTCCAATCTGTTATAGTTTAACCAATTGTTACCCACGCCCTGCATGTATTGCATCTCAATGTTAATACCATCACATTTGATATGTTTCAGTTCTACCGACCTACACCAACGCCTTGTAGGTGACGCCATCTCCCAATTTTAAACATAGCCAATATATCTGTTACAGTTCTGCCGACCTACACCAACGCCCTGTATGTTACGCCAACTCCCAATGTAAATGGTCAGTATTACTCTGTGGGGACCACACTGACATTCGGCTGTTCCGGTACCGTAGGCAGTGACAAGAAGATCCACACGTGGTGTTACAAACAAGCAGGCATCAATACCGGATTTACGGTAGAGTTAATTTTGAGTGTGGTAACTTGATACGTAGATATAAATCACATTGTTTTACATGGAACTAAGTCCCCTAAACGAGGAGGTTTGGAGACTTATTCGTTTTACTCCGTTTCACCAAAACATTTTCGAGAGTATTGCGTCGCGTGCCAGAAACTATTTTTGTTGCAGTTGCGGATCTAAGATGGCAACCGGATTCTAATGAAATTCTATATGGATATATGTGGATATGCGTATATGTGCAAGACACACTTGTTTTAGCCACTACACATCCAAGATGGTCGCCGCGGCCTCTGATTGGTCGAGACATTTAAATTTAAACCTATTCGGCATGTATGTGTATTATGTTGTTACGAATAGCACAGTAACTTGGGTAAGCATCATGTCCAACCAAGATGGTCGCCAAGCCTCTAATTTATAGAAATTTAGATATTGACCGATTTAATAAAATTTGATATCTAGGTATATTACGTCATTACGAACAATGCAGTTTAATAGGCATCCTTCACGACTGTGAGGGTAGTGTGGAAACCTCTGTAACGGCTACGTTACAATTAGAACTTGTACACTCTTGATCTTTCTTGCTTTTTCCTAGATCTATATATAATTAAAATTATTAGAAACAATTTTAAGTAATTGCCAGTGGTTGACACAGATTTTCCGGTTGATCCAAGATGGCTGTAATTCCTCCGAGTAAATCAATATCAAGGTGCCGTGTTACACGTCACATCGGTTTCATTATGAACCAGGTCTAAGGATGGTCTGGAGTTGCATGATTGTTTTATTGCTGTTTTCTGGAAAAATAATACACATGAACAAATTTAGAATAATTATTATTAAAAGGATGAAAATTAACAAGTAATTAATTTTTACCGATCTTCTCAAGTCATCGTCGTGATAATGATAAATTTCGAAAAACCCTCCTCGTTTGGATTGTTGAAACAGTTTATTTCTCCAACGCCATTGACTGGAAATGCGACGGCTGTGATTGTTTTGACTAGTACTCGGGTTTATAGTTTATTAGTCTCCGACTGGTTCCGGGGGGGGGGGCTATATGATTACACTCCGTCCTTCCGTCTTTCCATCCGTCTTTCCATCCGTCTTTCCGTCCGTCCGAGAAGTTTGTCCGCAACATATCTTCTATACTATTTCACCTGGAGTAACCAGGTTTGGTGTACAAGGACATCTTGGGACGCGCAATGCAAAGTGTAAGAAAACGGTCACTATGACCTCACTGTGACCGATTCTTTGACCTTTGATCTTAACTTTTGAACATGTTTGTCCGGGCCATATCTTCTATACTTATTCACATGGAGTTACCAGATTTAGTCTACACGGACCTCTCGGGATGGCAGAGTGCGGAGTGCAAGAATTAGTTCACTGTGGCCTATGTCTTGACCTTAGCCCTAAACGTTTGAAAACGTTTGTCCAGGGCATATATTATATACTAATTCGCAAGGAGTAACCAGATTACGTCTACAAGGACATCTCGGGATGGCGGAGTTTAGAGTCCAAGAATTAGGTGACTGTGATCTATGAATCGACATTTGACCTACTTTTGAAAACATAAGTTCGGGGCATATCTTCTGTAGTATTTCATCTGGACTAACTAGATTTAATGTACAATGACATCTTGGGATGACGCAGTGCAGAGTGCAGGAATTAGGTCACTGTGGCCTATGACTCGACCTTTGACCTTTGCTTTTGAACGGGTTTGTCCAGGGCATATTCTATACTACATCACTTGGAGTATCCACATTTGATGTACGACGACATCTTGGGGATTGCAGAGTGCAAGAAGTAGGTTTCTATGACCTCACTGTTACCTATGCTTCGTAACATAAATGTACTGTTCGTTAAATATAGAAATCATCACCGGTGGGGGAATATCGATTGCCTTGCAATATTGTGCATTGTTTCTCCTAACTTACTGACAGGGTACGCCACGACAGTGGTAACTTTGACTAGTACTCGGTTGTATAGTTTATATCTCCTACCTTACTGACAGGTAACGCGACGACAGTGGTTACCTTGACTAGTACTCGGGTGTATAATTTATATCTCCTACCTTACTGACAGGTAACGCCACGACAGTGGTAACTTTGACTAGTACTCGGTTGTATAGTTTATATCTCCTACCTTACTGACAGGGAACGCGACGACAGTGGTTACCTTGACTAGTACTCGGGTTTATAGTTCATATATCCTACCTTACTGACAGGGTACGCGACGACAGTGGTTACCTTGACTAGTACTCGGTTGTATAGTTTATATCTCCTACCTTACTGACAGGGTACGCGACGACAGTGGTTACCCTGACTAGTACTCGGGTGTATAGTTCATATCTCCTACCTTACTGACAGGGTACGCTACGACAGTGGTTACCTTGACTAGTACTCGGGTTTATAGTTTATTTATCCTACCTTAATGACAGGTTACGTGATGGCAGTGGTTTTTGTGACTAGTACTCGGGTTTATAGTTAATTTATCCTACCTGATTGACATGGTACGTGATGGCAGTGGTTTCTTTTATTAGTACTCGGGTTAGCATTATCATTGTATTATCTAGGGAAGCAAACACTAAACGACCATTATTCAAGTACAACATTGAATCGTGTATTTTATAAATAAAGGTGGTATATTTATCTTTAAATAAGATTGAATAATTACTGAAAGTTACTGGTGTGATAACAGCATCGTTATATTCAAATTACCTGTCTGCTTATGCAAGGTGTCAACAGTGCTCCCACACTCGACATAATTTACCGAAAAACAGTTAATAGTTAATATGTTTTTTGCGAATGTTTACAGTAGTCCTTACTGTTAAAAAATGTTTGTTATTATATTTTTCTTTTTAAGTCAGAACACACTTTAAAAAATATATTATGTCGACGATAGTACAATATTATTATTTAGATTTATGCTTTTCAGGGCTTCCCTAATGCAGCCAACATTAATCAGAATGAAAACGGTTTGGCCCAGGACGGGTGTAATTACAAACGCAGCAGTACACTGACCTACAATGTAACGGCAGCAGACACAGAAACCACATTTATGTGTGAACCGTTCACTGGCAGCATGTGTGGCTCAAGTGCAGCAGGCCTGAAAGCCAACTATACCGTCAGAAACTGTAAGTATGAAAGCGCATACGTCAGAAAAAAAGGTTATTAATATTAGAGATAGATAATAAACTGACAATATGCTAAGAAACTGTAATGATACCTATGAGTGGCAAAATCGTAACCTACAGGATATATTAATCAGAAAATAAAAAACCTATATATATATAATGTGTATCATATGACAGAAAATCTACGTCTACATCTACAAAATAATGGATATCCACTAATGATGGAATATCCATAATATATACATGTATGATCTACCTATGATAAATACTCCAATAATGATAGACACTCCACTTACTCCAGCTACTACAGCCCACTAGTGATAGATAATCCACCAATATATATAATCCACTTATGGCATAAACTCCACTAATGAAACTGAATGTTATTGTGACATACAATCCAATACTAACAGATAATCTACTAATTAAAGATAATTCACTAATGATATATATCCGCTTAAGAAAGAGAGTAACACGATCCGCGAGTAGACAGAAAACAACGAAAAAGGTAAGAACAGTTCAGATGAGGCGTTCCGGAAGGATGAGCGTATTATGTAAAATCCAGGTAATGCCACTTTCAAAAAGGTAGGTGAAAAATATGTAATGGCAGACCTTTGTACATATTGATGGAATACATTGTGTATAAAGCAGGAATTTTACCTAAAGTGGTGTATCATATAGTCTGAATATTAACACTAGATATATATCAACACTGTGTATACATAATGTTCAATCAGATGGCATGCATTCTTTATAACTCTACCGTAAATCAATCTTATGTGATAAGTCATATATTATGTGGTACTGTATATTTACGTGGGAAACGTCATGGTTTAGGAATACACTTTCATGGTTATGTCATTACTCAATATAGGATGAGTGGTATATGTATACATCATATGATTAACAACTTTGAACAATAATGGTAGGTTTTACAAACAATTGAATTTAAAATGTCATTTAAAATGTATCATTTATATTTCTCTTGCATAAAAAACCCATCGAATGTATATTTCTCCATTTCCACTGTATTGTCTGGCCAGTCAGTCTGTATAACAGAAATGATCCGCGTTGATAACAGTTCTAGGTACACTGTATGTACTGCTCCAAGCACGGAATCCCATGTCTATCGAATTTAGCCGGTATCTCATATTATGTCTTTACGGGTTTTACTCGCCAGTCTACAAGCTTAACACTGTATCGTATAAACTTGGTTTCCTGTAATCAAACTTTATGAATTAAATTTACGTTTATTTCATTTTAACAATTTTACAGAATCATTTGAATATAAACATTTAACAGAAAATGTTTTACCTGAAAGAGGTAGATGCTTGTTTAACATACTCTGGTATTCAGTTGTAATTAATACTTTTATGAATTGAGTTTTAATTAACAGTTAATCAGATAACGTTGTAATTAACAGTTTAGCACTTTAAGATGTAACTAACAGCGTTTTACAGATTTTCTTTTATAATCAGTGTTTAACAGATTACATTGTAATAAACCGTATTTATCAGATTAAGTTGTAATTAACAGCTTAGCACATTAATATGTAATTAACGGCGTTTAACAGTATATTTGTTATTATCAGTGTTTAACAGATTACATTGTAATAAACCGTATTTATAAGATTAAGTTGTAATTAAGCGTTTAACAGCATATGTTTTAATTTAGTTGTGATACAAAGCTGAAAGGGCTGAGTTGCAACCAACAATTTAACAGATTTAGTTGTTTTTCATAATGTTTGCCATACGTTTAAGTTGAATTGAAATATTGTCATGTATTGACATTGACTCTTACGTAAGTATGATGTGTATAACTGTTGTTGTATAATGATGTAGTATTGTGGTTTTATTACTATTAGTTGATGGTGAATGCATAATGATAACATTTTTGTGTTTTCAAAGTGTATGCACAATGTAACTAACTTTGTAAATCCGTATGCGATTTGGACACATATGCGTTCGTGTGCTCTATTAGGTACAGCCGACATTTAAACGTGAAATGCACCAACGGGTAAGTTATGTATATCAGTATNAATTGACCTTACGTAAATGTGATGTGTATATTTACTGTTGTATAATGATGTAGAATTGTGCTTATATTACTATTGATTGATGGTGAATGTATAATGATAAAAAAAATGTGTTTTCAAAGTGTATGCACAATGAGATAAACTTTGTAATACCGTATGCGAGTTGGACACATATGCGTTCGTGTGCTCTATTTTGTACTAGCGAAATTTAAACGTGAAATGCACCAACGGGTAAGTTATGTATATCAGTATTACTCGATACAACATTAGGACGGAACTCATCATTGATGTGTATTGTCTTATCAAATGAGTATACAATGCGACAGTTATGTATATACCGCAGTAATGATAAGGATTGTGATAACTATTAGGCATGTATCATATTTTCATCGAAACGTGCTTTTTTATGATAAAGATGTCATAAGCGAGGATTTCGTTTTTTGATAGCTTAAATCTTGTACATATGGATGCCTAAGATCGGATAACGCAATTTTATCATACCTATTTTCTTTATGGTCAAAAGGCAAAATCATTCTCATCAACTATGAAAGTTAAATTCGAACATAAAGTTTATAACAAGTTTTGTATTGTGAGAAAATATGCTCTTTTAATAAATTTATTATAAAAATACGATTGTATTAGAAGGTACAAGAAGGGTCTTCCTGGAGTTATAAGAAACATGAGTGGTACAACTATTTCTTAACAAAGGTAAGATCCTTTTATGATATTAAAACTGTCATTAATTTGTACTTTAGATGAGAAATTAGCTTTCTAACTTTGTTATTTGATTGCATAGGAATTGTAAAATAAACTATAACATTTAAAAAAAATACAATGTCCTTATCTAGCTTGTTGTCAGGAGTAATTTTGTATTTCTACAATATTTCAAATATGGTGTAGTAAATAGGTAGTGATGTCCATTGTGAAAAAGATATGATGATATACACAAAAACATATATCAAAACAGTGTACCTACAACAACAGTTGTACGTTATTGTGAAGGTGTGTTTGTCCATGTGTTGTGATTATTTATTTATCACTCTTTAATATATTTTAGAAATTTCAAAAGTATACCTGAGTTCCTTATAACAGGAAGTCTGTGACTATATATTCTTTACAGCCATCAATATTAAAGCTGACAGTGCAAGCTATGCACGAGAAAGACCAATGTTATATATGGTATTTATAAAAGTAAGTTCAGTAATATACCTTTAATTTTGGATACACAATTTTCAAGAATATGCATTAAGTAACAACCAGCTTGGCAGTGTTTCAAAGTACTAAGGTGAGTGTGTTTGATTTTTGATATCGGTTGCCGATCAGGATGCGCGGTGCATTGAATCGCAAGACGGTCAGTTGTAGAATGATAACCGGTTTGACAAGTAATGCGCTTTTTTACCCAGTGAGACCCATACTCGTTACCAAGCAAGGAAAAAAACCCTAAAATGTCGGCATTTTCTTAGAAACGATAGTCGGAAGATATGGGGAAGCTCTCAAAAACAGAAAACACAAATATTTTGTTTTTTTTATTTATCTCAATTGAAAGCTTTTTGACTTGCACTGTCAGCTTTAAGTAAACAATACTAATGTGTAGTATGCTCTAAACGTACATTATGTACTTTATATAGCGCACTATGATTTTAGCGCATTATCAACTTTTGATAGATTAGTGAATAAGCAATCTGAAAATATGCAATTGAGAATAATTTGTTAGAACTTCAACTGCGTGCTCATTATTTAGCGCAATAATTGAAGTGCGAACAACGCTAGAATAAGACTACCACAAACATATGTACGTTGATAGTATATTTTGAATCACATTACTTTTTCTGTGTGTTTCAGATTTGTAACGACACCCCATAGGAACAAAGGAAACCTTAACTCTGTCCAAAAAACCTATTCAATACCTTGAATGGGTATTGGGAAAATGGGGATTCCTTCATTATCTTAAGCCACTATGTTGAGCAGGTATGTAGCATTATCATAATATGTTTTCAGCACACTTTTGTACTTTAAGTAGACGGCTGACGGGATATAAAGCGGTACTTTAGTTTGACTGTGACGCTGTATATTATGTCGTTGTCAACACATGATCATCTATCTGCATTGAGTTTATGGAGATCTTAAGCGATTCATAACTGACGTGTACGTCAATATTCTGAATTAATTATCGAAACGGTTTGATGGTATCTTTAAAATACATTCAATATACTGTATAAATATGGTAAGGTACCTTGTACAAAAAAACGCTTATTTGAGACGGACTGCGGTCAAACCACTTCCCGAGAAGGATGGTAACAATAAGTAGCTAATTTGAAATTGTAAATAATTTATTGTTTATGTCCTAAAAATAACTAATAATTTAGCTCGTCCTTTAATATAAGGTGTCGTCCTATTAATGTATTGATAAACGTTAACGTGAAACGAACAGAACGTTTGTTTGAGGTTAAGTGGGTTTACATAACAGTATTGAAAATAATCATGAATAATATTCAATAATATTATATCTTATAATAATAATTGTATTACTTAACTTAAACAAACGCAGATGAAAGTTACCCATACATGCGCTCATTTCTTTTTTGTTCGACATGTTTTTTCTCTATCTCTTTAATATAAATTTGTTTTATTTTATCCCCTTCTTTCATGTACTTTAAACCAATTTGGATTTCTAACCGTTGGTCCCCTATGTGTCACAGAAGAAAACAACAAAGCAGTAAGATGCATTGTGATTCCTTTTTGACATACGGTATCTATTACTAAATTTGCAATCATCTGTGTGTGTGATACATTCGTCTTTCAAGATAAAAGGTGATAAAATCTGTTGAGTCTCCGAGGTTAGCATTGATGGCCATATTGATCATTTTTTACGCGCACGTCCGCGCAGGGTATGCGTGAACACAAACAAAAACAAAAGAAGGGTGACAACATTGTAAGTCTTATAAAAACGGATGCCTAGAGATAATGCGCCAAATGGATAAAGTATTGTAATGGAAGAAGAACAGATGCTTTTTTCTTTTTCTTTTTTCTTTGTGTGTGGCATATGTTTATTTCTTTTTTCTTTGTGTGTGGCATATGTTTATTTCTTTTTTCTTTGTGTGTGGCATATGTTTATTTCTTTTTTCTTTGTGTGTGGTATATGTTTATTTCTTTTTCTTTTTTCTTTGTGTGTGGTATATGTTTATTTCTTTTATGTCCTCTTAGCAGAAGGGCAATGACTTACAATCCGCAATTAGATGCTTACATTTATGATCGGTAACGAAACTATTTGTCTTTTCCTTTTATTTTCCTGTTCATGTTTTGACATGTAATTGCACGTATCTTTGGTCCATAATATGATCGTAAACTTGTTCCTATTTCTCTGGACTTTAACCAAACTTGCTGAAACTTGTTATTTTATAGAAACTCGTTTAATAATTACCTCATTATAATCAATTGATTCATGAACAAAGACAGTTATTTGCTCCTTGTGTAAGTATTGTCGATTGGTTTTCGAAATATTCGCCATCTACTTAATTATTGCAAGTGAATGCGAACATACATTTCTCGCAAAAATCTACTTGTATTGCAGTAAGTTTCGACCGATCACAGGATTAACACTATCGAGACGTGGAAATCATTAACCTGTTGACGTCACCGAACGTGTGCGTTACCGGTGATATTACCAAGATAAACGACAGAAATGTCGTATGGCGAATAATGCTTACAGTGGGTAGAACATAAAACAGTAAGGTGATACCGGGGTAGATTACTCTAAACGTGTTAACTGTCTTTGTCTATAAAAGGCATTACGTTAAAAATAGATATTCCATTCAACAGTCTCGTGCAAAAAAGCAATTAAAACGAAAAGCTTTGTGACTGTACCTGTTACACAGTGTCACTCCCGTACATAGTCAGAGTTATTAGTATGGATTTGTATCGAAAAGTGTCACCAATTATGTATCCATCAATGGCTATTTTAGTCTCCACTGTTTACACAGGTAAGTTATCTTTTTAATTTAGTTCCATGAAGGTAAGATACCACACCAGGAAATGGTTCGTCGATAGGTATACTTAATAATATCAAATGAATAGTCATCTATGTGAAACAGTAACAGTACTAATCAGAGATTTTAACATAGTTTAATTTTACGTTCTTTATTTCAGACCTAGAGATAATATTTACCCTGACAGTACTTTCTAAAAATGTATACCAAACCTTGTTTAAATCACTATTTATCTCAAAAGAATGATATAATTGTCTCAGACGAGTTTTAGATTGAAATTAAAAAGGACTTCCGCACCAAAGGCGTATCGTCCCTTCTTACTTCCGTAAACAGTGGCACTTTCTTTCGATCAACTATTCGTATAGGCCTACAATATAACGGACAGGCCGGGAGAGTCTAATTTGCTGGACATGGGGGTTTGATTTTACAAATTTTACGGTCGGAAGAGCTTAAAAAGCCAACACAAATTCAAACATCAGTAGTTCAATTCCGCAAAAAGAAATAGAAATAAATTTGCGATCGTAAAATAGTCAATTTTCGATCCATCCTTACAGAAGAAGATGTTATGTTTGTATTACACTGATAACAGCATGGGTAGATGTTCTTACACCGCATGGTGGCTGGAGTAAATATTAGAATTATCAAACTTTATATCATCTTAAGCTTTTGATCATATAACATATATAATCTAATCATTTTCTCCTTCAGTTTCCGGTCAGTCCATTTCTATACTAGGGACAGCACGGTTTTCAGTACCTATGTCAGAAATAAGGATAACCTGTCAACCAAGCTCGTCTGGTGTCTCACTTATACACTCCATTGACCTGTTCAGGAATTCCAGTACAGTTCCTTATACCAAAATTGTATCCATTGACTATGCTGGAAATTCAGCGTCGGTGATCACCTGGGACGATACAGACCTCCGGGACAGGGTGGGCGTTTCAGTGACTGGAACAGTGAACTCGCCGACAGATGCTCAGCTTGTATTTGTAATCACACGTGGCAATACGAGATGTGAGGACGCAGGAGTTTACAGATGTGGGATCCGAGCGACTTTGACAGGCGGGGGTAGTGGTAAATCTGAAGTGGACACAAACGTGTCTGTATACGGTATGTATGGGTTAAGAAGTATATTTGATAATTTAATCCAACCAAGGTTCACATTACTAATCATAATAGCCAATGTCTGATGGTTAATTTCTGGGTTTGTAGATGTTTATGTGTTGTGGTTAACATTTTAAGGTAAAAAAAACAATACCGGGACAAATTAGACCTACTGCTTTCCATTAGTAAAAGAAGGCAAATGTGAATGCCCCAGCAGAGCGGATATTTTGTTCGTGTTCGCTACCTTACGGATATTAAAGAGATACCAAAACATACAACTTTTAAATATCCCGTGTCACCTTGACCATTAACCCATCATTATGATTGTATAATTTTTCACTTATAAAAATTGCACAATAATATTTTATTTGCTACAGTTAAAATAGCAATACAACGATCCTTTTGGTTACTTATCTAAAAATATGAACTTTAAGCATTCCAAAGAGTGCAAAATATTTTGGATATTCAAATAGCTACAATTTGCTAAACACATAGATTTTTTTTACACATTTTTGCGTTTATATTGGATAATTTTATGTATTTCTTAAATTTTATTAAACATTAATCCTGATACATTAGATTAAAACCCTGTTTAAACATGATTAAAATCTTAAAAGAATACATTTTTTGTGGCTTTATTTTGATCATTGGTCACGAAGGCTACTGTATGACAGTACGGATCGTAGAATGCGATGTGAAAATTGTGCATGATATACAATCATATTCCTTGTAAATCCCTGGTTACTAATGTAAAAATACAAAACGATATGCAAGATTAACTGAAACTCAGATAATTGAATTACAGTAGGGTTTTGATATTTTGAATCAAGTGCAAATGCGGCTAACATTGTCATTGATAAAAAACCCATTTAAGTTTCAAATCCACCATAAAAAATACGAAATTCTGAAAGATATGGAAAAATGGCCAATTAACTCATCAATATCTATGATTGAATTTCATAGACCCTGGATTTAATAATACTAATAATAAACTTTATTTATTGAGGATAAAAAACCTGTTTAGCCAAGCTTATCTTCCACAGCGTCCTCTGTTAGTAAAAGGGTTAGTTAAAATCATGATATAATAGAAAACAAATGAGCATTCAAATTATTATCACAGTAAGCATAGGCATAAAAGTAGTTGAGCTTATTAAATTACTATGATTTGACTAAATATATATACAATTGAAGGGTCATTTACACTTTTCATTAAAATTATCACAGAAGTAAAGATATACTATTCTAAGCTGAACCAATATGGTATTCAGTAAAAACCAAAGGTATAAATTACATATATGCTAATGTAGCAAAAACTACAAATTGACAGCATACACGCTAATATAGCGTAACTAAAAACATCAAAAAGCTATAAAAAGAAGTTTCTTTGATAAAAATTTAAAAAATACTCAACTGTATTTCTAATGCTTCCAATCATGTTTTGTATAAATTTAGGAAGGTAGAATGAAAGTCTTGTTTCAACTGGTAAGCTGTTCCAAATTTGGCTCCCTTCCACCACCAACTGTTTTGAATAAAAAGAAGTACGGTGTTTTGGTCCTTGTATAAAGTTTTGGGAAGCTGATCTTGTACGGGTGTCATTAGAAAAAAGGAACTGTGTAGATAGGTGTTCAGGTACAAGATTATTGACACATTTATACACCATAACACCTCTTTTAAATTTCAAATAATCGCTAATTTGGTATCCATCTTAATACAGAAAACATTTCCACAGATGGAGTGTCAAAAGGACCATCTAAAAGCAATCTTGCAGCTTGTTTCTGTGCTTTTGATAATTTCTGTATTAGGTTGAGAGAACATCCGCACCACACCGTACAACAATACACGAAGTGGGGGAAAAATACAGGAATGAAAGATTTCAATCTGGCTGGAAGTGGCAAATATTGACGTATACGTCTGAGTAAACCTAAACCACGGTTTACTTTAAATACAACGTGATCTGACCAAGATGTTTTTCAGATTTCACCTGTTCGATAATTTTCAGATCTAATGTAAGGTTTTAAAACATCATTGGTTCTACTCAATTTCTGTTTTGTACCAATAACCATACATTTGGTTTTTGGTTTTCTTGCAATTCAACAACAAAACAAAGTTTCAGTTGTCTCGTTTATTTTCTGTTCTCACAAACCATACTGCATTCCCAAACATGCACACAAACTATCAACACCACCACAAAACACCAAATTTAAACTGCTGTATCTATGTTTTGAAAATATTCAATATCCGACTTTGAACATTGTCGAAACTCTAATATATAGTGTTATGATTAGAGTGATATAACCTGAGTAATTAATCTGTTTCTTTTCGTTACAGTTGCCCCGACATATACAAATGCCCTTTCGTTGATAACATCGGGAGGGTGGTATCCAAACAACGTTAAATTTATCTGCTCCGGTACCGTAGGCAGCGACAGGGTATCCCATCTGTGGTGCTACAGACGGGCAATGGACACTGATTTTATAGTAAGTAAGGAAAATATTTTAAATTTTTTTTTTTTATTTATTTCTGTTTTCTTAAGTATGTTCATGAAGTTTTTTTTTCTCACTACTTGTTCTCATACAGTGCTTTGATATAAGAATGCTGATCAAATCATTCTTTGAGGGTCCCTGTACCACTGCTCTGTTTCTTTTCGTGTAAACAGTAACCTCCACGTAATTTCGTTTCGGATATAGCTTCCGTTGACCGGGTTGTTCAGTCGGTTAGAATGATGACACCTCTGACGTCAAGGTTCGAATTCCGGTCTAGCTCCGCTAAATTTGTATATAATTATGTATTTTTAATCTTTAATATTTTCTGTTTGGATAACAGAGCCAAATGATTTTCCTGTTTAGAAATGATTCGTCAATGTTATAGCCATGCCGATAAAAAGTTGCCGATGAACTCTTACGGTTTATGGCAGTAGTACGGGCCCGTTAAATGTATTGGACACTACTGACTATAACCAAATTAACAGGTTGGGAGGACAAAACATATTGTTGCACAATCGTAATGGCTGTTAGTGTTGAAATCTTGGATAGACGTGAGATTGCACTTGTGTCTGCTTTGTCAATGGAGAAACCAAATACATGGCCATATATATTGTTTTATTTCAACCATTTTCTCACAAAGTAAATCGTCCATGTCTGCCTTTGAACTTGCTACTGCTTTTGTTGAGCCGCTGAGATTACAATATATCTCTACGTCGTCGTAATGTATTGATTGACCATTAAGATTACCGTATGACTTTACAACACCGGATTGTTTGTCGATACCACTTTAATGCGTGTCAATGGACGGTTAAAATGATCAAACAACCATTCATACAACCATTCATATATTATTGTTGCATAAAAGACTTATATCGGATGTTTAAAGTATACATTTAAAGCTAAATACCATTTTGTTAATTCATTTGAAAAAAAATATTTTCATTCGTTATTGGTTTTACATCCTTGTAAGATTCATACAAATATTTTATTTTTATTTTTTCTTACATCTCTCCTCATATTTAAACCTTGGTCATCATTTTGGTAAATGAGGAATTCGAAACATGTCTATGGAATGTTGTGCTAATTTCAAATTAAAAAATACTTATATCTATATAAACCCCAACCCTAGCAAACAATTGGAAAGGTCGTGTTGCACTATTTCGTTTTTAATTTTTAGGCATACCCATACGAATCAGACATTCGACAACACGAGGTGGATTTAGTTGGGGAGGGGTGTAACTACATTCGAACAAGTTCTCTGACGTACACCGTGAGATCAGAAGACAGGAGTACTTCCTTTATGTGTGAGCCTGACACGGGCCGAGGATGTGGACAGAGTCGGGATGGCCTAAAAGCAAGCTTCACCCTTACAAACGGTACGTTGACCAAAAGCAGCTTCGCCGTCAAAAATAGTTTCATGCATCATAAAGAGAAGAAGCATTTACATTGATCTCAGTAAGTACCTCCTAACCTATCAATATTTTGACTCGTGCACTGCCTAGGCCTTGGATTACCAGATTAGTGCATTTCATAAAAATTTAAAAATTAATAATTATATAATTGTATCATGTTATTTATTCATTCCTAGAACACTTAGTGCATTTTTGAATTTAAAATGAATGATACGTTTATGTCATCAGATGCACCTCCTATGACGACCGTTTCAGACACTAACGCCGCCCCTATACAATGTAAATGTGAGTATATAATATTTCACTAAATATCTTATCAATATATTGTAAATGGTAAACAGATATTTAAAAAAAGGAAAAAACAAGTTTCATTTGCATTGTTATAAAAATAAGACGAATACAGTTACTTACACTTATCAAATTACTGCGTGCCTCGATTTTTATAAAGGAGTATCTAACCTGACTGCAAAACAAAAACAAATATGAAAACACACCGCGCTTTGCTTTGGCTAATTTATCAATTTAGTCTACACTGCCCAATTACCCACAAAGGTTAGCTCAAAATCAAATACTTGATTCGCTATGGTACTGCCACTTTATAATCCATCCAAGCACAAATGACATTCATATCAGCTATGAATGCCATTGTCAACGTTACTTGATCTAAGAAAAAGTAAAATCATATAACAACATTTTTAGAATTTATACATGTATTATCTGCAAAACATGCATTGCCCTGTCGCAATATAAGATATGTCTTAGAGTTTCTGAAAAAATAGTCATTGTTCAATGACTTTGATCTCAGCTGAGTTAAGGGGTTAACAGACGAAGATGTTAGCTTTAACTGTTTATCCTTATGATAAACCATTCTATCAAAAGAGCCGTTAATGTCACTTAGACATTTGTGAATTAACGATAACATTTTAAACCATGCCTTTTTGTATACCACTATGCTATGTACACAGGTAACGTGGTACCCTGGATCGTCGTTGCCGTGGTATCCATAGTGATCAATGTCATTGCGGTCATCGTTATCCCCTTTATACGAAGGTAATTAACGACATTGTTTTTAACTTTGGTGTGGCCATCACTTCGACGTTTAGGAACACTTTAATAACCTCACTTTTCAAAATTGGATTTGTATAATTTACTCTTTATTTCGGTTGTAAGATAATTATAAAGATGTGCAATAGTCATTAAATTGTACCAATGGAAAATACTTGTAAAATTGTGTACTTGTGACCCTTTGCAGTCATACCTTTTGTTTGTCGTTAATATACAATCTTAAAGTGATTATATATATTTATTAGTGCTCATGTTATAGTATATGTGATAGTCTCATTTGGTAGAAATACGTTGTCTGTCCATACGCTAACATATGAAGTCAAACACTTTGTCCATTATAGATTTCTGTAGACTTGTTTCCTATGCATAATATGAGCTATACCATGTTTGTGTAAAGACATTTTCCATTGGTCAATAACCATGGACGATTAACCATGCTCGTGTGATTATTATTTTTCAACGGACCAACGCTCTCCCAAAAACCTGCCCCCCAAATGTACCGGTAAAAAGCGAGTTGATGGACTGGTTTCATTTGTCGAATGAGGGTACCAGCATTTTTTGTTTTGTATGTATTTGAAGAGTTGCTATTCAACAAACAAAACAAAATACATTTTAACCTCTAGATCTTCTTAAAACCTGTTAAACTCACGGTTTGAAAGTTCAGCTGAACTTACCTCGAAAATAACTCGATAGCAATCGAATGAAATAAACATCTGACATAAAGCATGACGTCAGCTTGCCTTGTTTGTCATTGACCAAATTGCATAGATTAACAAAGGAAATATCTTCTCAAATATCAAGGTTAAAGCCTTCAAATAGACCAACTGTCCACAAGGTCAGAAATGATAGAGATGAGCAGCTTGTTGTGAAATGAAGTCATCAAGTGATAAAAGTTCGAGTGCGCAAAATAACAGCCTTATTTAAACAATAAGAATTTCTTGGTCGACTTGCTTGTCAAATGCGTATGGACATTCAGGTATATACAAGAGACTTTCATTACATTTTACTCGGTAGAAGAGATATACATTTAATCAATATATGTTTGTATATTATGATGGAATATAAACATTTACCTCAGGAACCAAATATATTGGGGAAATAATCAACTCAGCTAGCGGCTTTCGTGAATTATTTCTCACTCTTGTTACATATTAAACCATAATGCACGCACATACGTTTATTATTTCTTAAATAAACATCTCTTTCAGCTATTATGTTTATATGTTTTCTCGTTTACAGGTTAAGATCGAGAGGTTGACATCTGCAATGAAGTGAAGAATATATGAAATACGAAGGTATAATGCTACTTTTTATACTTTTAATTCACTTATAAAATAAATGATGCACACAAAACTTTTTTTTTTAAGTTTTATTCTTGTTAAAATGATCACTCAATACGTTGGCCATATAGCGCATGGATAGATAAAGACGAAAGATTAGTCAATAACATACTAATGCTGTTATTGTTTCATGGAACAACCAGCGTTTTGAAGTTAACAGTTTTATACAATATCCATTGAAGACATTTAACGGTTAAATCAAGAAACTATCTAGACGCATGTTATTCAGACAATGGCCTTTGATTCCATCAACACGAGCTTTATCCTAATACCTATTGTTACTTAACGTTTAATAACCTTTCGGGTTCGAATTTCGATTCTAGAACACAACACAACGAGACGTGTCATGTAAAGGTAAACTTATATTTCTTCATTTTTCACTTTATGCAGATTAGGCGAATGAACATGTTTTAATATAAACTGTAAATATTTCTGCTGACTAAATACTTATTTATTATTCTTTCTTTAAATATTAACAGACGAGACGCTACTCCAGTTAAACAACACATTAACGGATGGCTTGTGTGACTTTGCTGCGAAAAACGTTCATCACATCAACAGAAAATAAAGGAAACAGACTTCACCGGGAAACGTAAGGCTTGATATTCATGTTGGACGTATTATACTCGTCTTCGTCGTTGGCGTCGAAAACATTGCCGAGTTTAAATGTGAATATATGAAGACAATAGGCGCTGTATTTATTTCCAAAGTATATTCTTAAAACTTTTACAGACATATATTGACGATGAAAGGGAGCAAAATTATCTCCGTAACCACGATTTTTATCCTTTTGCATGTTTCATGCATAACTGATTATATGAATACGTTTGATGACTCAATTGACCGTTTTCCTTTTGTGCCATAGCAGCATAGCCTTACGAAACATCGTCAATATCATTAAAGGCAGTAACATTCTTATACAGGGAACATGTCGCCTTAAAACATTGCTGCATTTAATTGATAACATATACTATGCTGTTTGTGTATGAACTACAGACGGTAGATTTAATTTTTTACACGTGTGTTAAATCATCTTGAAGAAAGTCTAGTGTCATGATAGCATTTATGGGACATGTTATTTTACATTGTATCATGAACAAAAATATTATGCATTAAAGAATGTTTATGATATTTGCCCTTATCATATACTTATCATTGGTGGATGCTTATGAGTTGTTTTTGTTACCCAAATGTCTGTTCAACAGACCGTCATTCCAGATTACTTTGATGAAATTTTAGGCTTGTCACTGACAATATATAGGGTGTGCTGTGACAAATGCACTGTTGTTCTAATTGTGTGTCTTTCTGTTTTTTAATTATTTGACAGATTATACTTTTATTATCTCGAATAAACTCACAATTTTCATATCATGTTTTTCATCACATATTCAATTAAGTTCGCTTCTTGTCAAATCATAAAAACAATATACATGTTTATGGTTTTTAACTTGCAATGGTATATAGACAAAAAGAATATCTAAAGACATCGATCATTGTCAACATTTGAAACGACCACAATTACCTCTACATTTATCATAAGATGATTTCGGCAGATAATGGTGTTTGTTTCAAATGTCAGAAGTGAATCTTACTTAGCACTTTACTTCTACATGTATGTTTAAATAAGAAAGGAAAACACATGAATATTATTCGCAAGATTTTACTTTAGACAATTACAATTCCAGACTACATTATATATATTTATCAAGTTGAAATGTTTCCGAGTCATGTTTAACCGGATCAGTTGACTAGCAAAAACAAAGCAATGTTGTTTACCGTTTCCTGAATCAATATTCGTCCAATTTTTCAAATAATAGTTTACTAGACAATGTAAGGTTATTTGTTGTTGCATTGCAAATTTAAATTAAGGTTACATTTTTTACAATTCTAGACAAAACATTTTACCTACTACCTTTAAAGACTCCGATGCCCAACTCAAATTTCCATTCTGCAAGTTAATTGTTTTCCCGTAGTTTCAAGCATCCTATTCGTACTTCCTTTGTTTTCCAAAACTTGGCACGAGTAAGGAGGATTTTGAAAATGTCATTTTGTTCAGATTAGTTTCCTCACAAGAAATCAGGGAAATATGGGATACCTACAATCTGCTGGAAAACAATGCCATCGAACGAGTACTTGAACTGGCCACTTATTCCCACACTTAAAACCATGAAAAGTCCTCGTTAACAATATATTAAACTCTCACCTTTTCAAATTTGTTTATCTTTGAAATGAGTTTCCAATGACATTCCAGGTCTGGTCAGGTATTGTGTGCCCTTTGTTGACTGATACTACCCTTAAAGGGACTGGTCGAGGAAAAAGTTACAAAATAAATGGGTCTAAATGCGTTCTCTGGCTTTCCAAAAGTTATACCACGGCAATATGATGGTCGAGTTCTGCTTGCAATGTCCAGTTTTGACCACTGAAATCTCGGGGAAGCCCTGCGTAAATTTAGCGCAGATCTATTTATATATGTCACGTGGTTGTTTCGAAAGTGAGGCAGTGAAGATAACAACAATAGCATGCCGTCATGTGCCATGTCGGACTCAACTAGCGGACAAAACCGCAATACTATGTACGTAAATAATCGTTTTCAAAGGTCATGTATGATGCAAGTGTAGTATTCCTACCTATATGTTGTTGTTATATATAACAGTATTGATACCTCGTGCCTGTCATGACTTTTGCATGCATCTTTTTCTTTCGTCGCGATGTTTACATTTGGCCCTGTTGATGACGCACGTGCGATAAAATTGCATCACTGATCTGGGTCAATTGAGAGTTTTAAACTGTTAGGTGACGAGTTTCTTTAATATAATTATATTTTTTACTCTTAGCGAGTGAATTTCAGCAAAATTTGAATCGGTATATTTCATAAGAAGGTATTTTAAACATGTTTATGCCATTTTAGCAAATATGACATTTTTTCCCCCGACATAATAACATAAATACTGTTAATATGGTGTATACTGCGAATAAGTTGTCTATCATGTGGTTTTAAAATTACCCCACTTTTCATAGCTGTGCTATAGAACGTTGCATACACACTTAGAGTCGTATAAAAAAGACTTGAATAATGATACATTACGATGTTTAACTTAACTCTTGTCCAGTACGCTTTGTCACTTGATCAAGAAACGTTCCTTATTGGCATAGGCTCTAGAGCGTCATTAATCTGCCGGTTAAATGTTTTGTTTTCAACATTTTCAAATACAATATCAATATAATTTGCATCAATGCATACAAATTAGAAAATACACTTAAATTCTAATTCTAATAAAACACATTTTCATTAGCATTTCCTAGAAATACCAATGCATTACTTTAAATGATGTGATAAGCATCATGTTTGTTGATTAATAATTAAATAGTAAAGATAAATAATGAAATACCACTATTGACAATGGCATACCTACTATGATATGAGGTCACCCCAACGGGTATTTGTATATTAATGCTAAATTTAAATACATTTACTCGTGAGACAAACTTGTTTGCATGAAAACATACATATCTATTAAATACAACAAAAAATACAACAATTCATACACACACAGATTATAATAATTTCACTGAACATACACTTAGTCCTTAAACCATAAACAAATTAAATGCTAAGAAAAAACATAGTCATCAATTAATTTTACTTAATCTTTCGTTTTAGGACATTTTGCTAGGCTATAACTGTCTTCAATGTGATTAAAACGATAAATGAGAATTAATTCTTCGTGTGGAAATTGGAAAAAAGAAACATTATTACTTCTCCTTTTATTCCCAATGATAATCTTATAAGTAATTTATATTTTAACTTAACGCTTTCCTCCGTTGACAATTTCTATTTCTATTCACAATATTTTAAGGAATACATTTATATTTGCGCTGCAATGTCACTATGTATAGCAAGTAAACTTAACACCGGGTTATCAGACTATGAAATGAAATGCGCATGACCATTTTCTTTCAAATCCCTCAAATTCTACAGAAGAAGAAATATTTTTAAGACTTTTTCTGTGTTTCCATTTTTTGGTCCCGCTCTTTTACACCCAGGGGGCCCATCTCATCCATTTATACAAAACCGATAACTTTTTGGCCAAGTTAGCTTCAGACCAAATTTGATTTTGATCTCTCCATTGGTACAGACGGAGAAATATTTCCTTTCATTTACATTATTGGTCCCCGCACACCCTCCAATTATACCAATATGAGTTCCCTTTATCGGAAGATGCTCTAGAATGAATAAGGTAAAAATACCTCAATTGGTACAGAAGGATGTTTTTGAAGATTTACATTATTTCCCTAATGAGTGCAACCACTCTGTCCCAAGGGGACCACTTCCTAAGTTTATACAAAATTGAAAATGTTTCAGTTAAGGAGGACAAGGGTTTTTAACAATTACCTCTATTTTCCCTATTGTACCCCAACCCTCTGCAAATCTGTGAATGCTTTGGAAAAGGATACTCTAGAACAAATTTGATCAAAATCCTCTCAGCCCTTCGGGATAGCTGAGCTAAAAAGCACAAATCTAGTAAAAGATTACATAACCACATTCATTTTTTTATGTTCATAATATCTGTATTTGTCTTATCAATTTTTATCGGTATTTTCACCTTAAATGTATCATCTGAGGCCCGTCTGTAGCACCACTGGTGGGTTTTCCTGTCAGTCCCTACAGTACCACTGCAACTGTAAAAAGGTACATAATTACATTCAGTTGGATTTGGATTTTGTGATAACTGATGATGTCGTGAAAATGATCAACAGAACTCTATTTTAACAAACAAAAACTGGTGTGTTCAACTAAAATGATCAGGTTTTAAGTTTTCTTGTGAATTGCTCACCTGGTATTAATCTCACACTTGTAATCTTAAAAGTGGACTAATATACAGCTACAGGCAAAATATCTGTGTTCGATCCATTTGAATCTATTAAATGATTTAAACATATAACGCCTGCGACCTTGAAAGTTTATAGCCTTCCGTTCCGGCATGTTTCTGGCTAAATATCATTACCCTGAACCTTTTGAATATTCAGAACAAGTCATTTAAAGATTTAAACATAGTTGATCCCTGTGACCTTAAATATCAGCAAAGGTCATTCATTTAAACAAACTTGGTAGCCCTTCATCCCAGCATGTTAATTGCCAAATATCATCATCCAAGGCCTTTTGGATATTCAGAAGAAGTTATTTAAAGGTTTTAAACATATTTGACCCCTGTGACCTTGAAAATAGGTGAAGGTCGTTTGTTTGAACATACCTGGTAGCCCTTCATCTGAGCATGATACTGGTCAAATATCCTTGTTCTAGGCCTCTTGGGTATTCAGGAGAAGTCGTATAAGGGTTTTAAACATATTTGACCAATATGGCCTTGAAAATGGGTGAAGGTCATTTATTTGAACAAAGTTGGTAGCCCTTTATCCCAGCATGTTACTGGCCAAATATCATTATCCTAGTCTTCTTGGTTATTCAGGAGAAGTTGTTTAAATGTTTTAAACATATTTGACAATTAAACCCTTTGACCTTGAAAATGGGTGAAGGTCATTTATTTGAACAAACTTGGTAGCTCTTCATTCAAGCATGCTACTGGCCAAATATCATCACCCTGGATATTTTGTTATTCAGAAGGAGTTGTTTAAAGTTTTTAACATATTTGACCCCTGTTACCTTGAAAATAGATGAAGATTATTTATTTGAACAAACTTGGTAGCCCTTCATCCCAGTTTGCTTCTGGCCAAATAGCATCACCCTAGGCCTTTCGGTTATTAAGACGAAGTCCTTTAAAGTAAAATATTGACGCCGGACGCCAGACGGACGACGGACGGACGACGGACGCCGCACCACGGCATAAGCTCACTTGGCACTTCGTGTCAGGTGAGCTAATAAAACAGACAAACTGATTTCAAGAACATGTCTCATAAACTTGTTGTGTGAATGTTAATTTTGCAAAAATGTAGGAATTTCAGCATTGATGATAGAACGTTATCCTTTTGCGATAAGCGAATATACATATGTTCAATAAATCGCAAAATGTAAGCACTTTAGTATACTACAACTAAACAAGAAGCTTTGG